GTTTCAATCTTCACCTTTTCTTTGCTTCCCCAGATCATAATCAACCAACTGATTTCTTCCTGCATGCAATGCGACATCTGATGTGATTACATGACCATTTTTCCAGCATGTGATAGTTAAGAAAAAAGGAAGGCCTATTACAGTGGTGGCGAACCTATGGCACGGGTGCCAGAGGCGGCACTCAGAGCCCTCTCTGTGGGCACGCATGCCATCGCCCCAGTCCTAGGCCTTCAGCTGGGTTTTATAAAACCTTTTCGCTTTAGGCCTCCGCCGCCATGTGCAGGAAAAAAAAAAGGTTCAATCAGTCATTTTCAACTTCTCACGGGGAAAAAAAAGATCCTGCAAAGTTGGAATTGATTGATTGAACTTTTTAGTCCCACCCAATCTGTTGTTACCACTGAAGCCATGCCCACCCAATGGGCCACGCCCACCCAATGGGCCACACCCACCCAGCACTCGACAATGCATAAGTGGGTTTTGGGTTGCAGTTTGGGCACTCGGTCTCTAAAAGGTTCGCCATCACTGGCCTATTATTTCATCGTGTATTGGCACACCAAGGAGTTTTATAAAACACCTATCTTTCTACTTGCACTCTGTCATTTTTTCCACCCTTTAACTATTGTAAAACAATCTATTTAGTGCAAAAGTTTATTTACAGGCAAAAAACCTTTATGCTCAGGTAACGCCATACATTTCCTAAATATGGAAAATATTCCCAAAGCTAGCGTTATTTTATCAACATACAAATTTTAGTTTAGAGTGTCTCACCAAGTTATGATTAACTGTCCCATCAAGGCACCCCAAAGAGCTTTCATTCCACTTGATAAGAATTTTTAACTAAGCTCTGAAGCCAGAGCTAAGTAGTTCCCTCTTTTCTATATTCCACTTTTTGGGGGGATCATAGTTATTTTAGATTGTGTTAGCTACTTTGGAAGCTTTTTGGAGGGAGTAAAAATGCATCATCATGGTTACTTCAGCACATATTTTCTTTGCAATCTTTGTCAAAGGATTTTTTTAATCTGGTAAATTGTCCTTGACAATGTATTCTTGTGGAGTAGATTCTGTATTACACTGCTGAATCCTTGAGTTAATAATCTGTAGCTATGTAGTCTAATGATTATGTGGAGGTCAGTCAAAGAGAATGTTAAGTAGGAGTAAGAATGATTTGGGGGTTATGGACTAGATATAGTTACCAGTGTAATGTTTTATATGTGTAAAATTATCATTATGTGAATTTTTACAGAACTGATACGGTCTTGTGAGTACTCATTATAGCTAAATCATTATTTTGTGAAAATATCAGACTAAAACTAAATAATATGTAAATTTGAAGGAAGGTTCATTGGTCTTCAGAACTACAAAACATTCTGCAATTAATTGGCTAAATCTAAAGAGACACACAGAGAGAGAAGGTGTAGCTTTTAAAGGGCAATTGTATGCTTGGAAACAGGATGATTTGGGCTGCAAACATCCAGATGACCACTAGGTGACAGCGAATAAAATACCATCTAGTGATCGTTGACATTTTCTAGTTTATTTTGAGAGCATCCAAACAATCTGCAATCCTTGCTCTGACACCAGTAAGAGAAAAACATTTAAACCTTAAGAAAAACTAAAACTGAAGAGGCCTGTTATTTCTTCCACTTAGTTCAATTTCTTTACACAAATAATGAAATCCCTTACTTCCCCTATATTTAGAGAGTAAGTTACCAAATATCAATTGGACTTATACCTCAAAGAAACTCAGAAAAATCAGAACAGCCTCTATAGTCCAGCACCAATGCAAGGTAGAAAATAAACTGAAAGCCAAAAGCTTTTTTGCACAGTACTTTAACAATCCTATGTCAACTTGGTTCTTCGATGAAATTATCCAGATTTTCACCAAAACTGTCAAATTCTCTCTGTCTTTCATTCATATATAAATTCTACATTCCAGAGAACATTCAGAATATCATCTGATTAATCAAATCCAACCAGACAGGAGCTTGCAAATGAGAAATGAAAACAAGAATAAAAGGTCTGAAATGGAAAAAAGAGAAGCCGGTAGAACAAGGCAAGGGACATGCCACCGACCCCTCTTAAAAGTAAAAAGCACTGCTGGTCTCTCGCACTCGGCAGACCCCTTGATCTTTTCAGATTTCGACGCCATACGCACGAGTCATATTCTGGGACAGAATTTTCCACGTCCAATTATTCAGTCTCCTTTCGTGCTCAGGGAGTGGCGGAGGAAAGCATTAAACCGCCCAAACAGGATTGTTGGGGCGTGCGGGCGAGCGCCTCTGCGCGAAGACAGGAAACCCCAATCCTAACAACCCTATCGCGATCCACTTGAATGTGACCTCCCTTGAAAACCACAGCCGCCTTTTTTTCCTCTCCTCTCCTCTCCAACATGCCCGGCCAACCAATTGCTCCAATTTCTCCGAACGCCAAGCAAACTCACATGCACGCAGACACACAACCGAAACCTAAGAGGTGTTCGCCGTTACCTTGGCAGACAATGGCCGGGGCCCGTTCCTCCTGCTACGTCGCCGGGTCCCTGTGACCGGAGTTGGTGCTCTTGCTGTCGTCCTTGATGAAGCCGCCACCATCGCTCTTAGGAGATGATGGCCTTGCCAGCAGAGCCAGGATGTGCCGGGTTCTCCCCCATTACACGTTGTTTCAGCGGCGCTTGCCCCTCGCTCCTCCCACCGTCCGGAGTGGATCCCCCCGAGGTACAAGCGCGCGCAGTTTTTTCTCCTCTCTAGAAGCTGCGCCCCAGGCCCGCCAGCGCTCGCGGGGCTTTCACCGACGGCGAGAAAGGAGCATTTCGGTTGCGGGAAGCGAGGAAAAGAAGAAACGTCAGGACCGCTTCCGTCTCTCTTTTTTTCTTTCCCTTCCTCCTCCTCCTCCACGCTTCCGTGACTCACCCGCTGCGGTCACTTCTCTCGTTCTCACAGTTCAGCACATCTCCCCGAGAGCTCCCTGGTTTCTTTTTCCTCGAGGCCAGCTGAACCAGACCCTCCGGCTCCTCCGCAAGCCGTCCGCCTCCGAGGGGCCGGGCCACGTGTTTACAGGCAGCCGGAGGAGGTGGGGACCCGAACCCTTAACTTCGCACACGGCCCAGCTGGAAATGGCCGGAGACACTTGTTGCTCGCCGTCTTTTGAACGGCACGCTCCCCGGAGCCTTCCACTCGCCTTGCAGTCCGAGTTTCGCCCTCAGCAGCTCGCGTTGTATCAGGCCGAAGGAGCCCAAAATCCAGCAAACCAGTCCCCGTCGCTCAGCTTCGGCTACCAAAAAAACGACCGCCGGAGACAGGCTCCAAGCCACACCTCCTGGGCGGCCTCCCGACGGCTAAAAAAGGCCTCGCTGCGGTAGGAGACCGAGGGGGAAGGAAGGGGTAAGCGGGCCAGGGCTGTAGTTCCTCCCGTTCGTCCCCGCTGGAAGGGTTGGTTTGTGGAGAAAGGCTTGCTTTTCTGACGAGACGCGAAGCGCTTGCTTCCACGGGGTAGTAAACTTCGCAGCGCCTTTCACTGTGCTTGCGCATCCTCATCAGGTGCCGGGGGCGGGGAGGGGAGGAGTTGGAGTAATTGGAGCCGCTTGAGTGGGAATGTTTAACTACAGTCCCTCCACAAAATCGCCCGGCGAGGGGCATTAGCTACAGAAATCCCGCGGTGAAGTTAGCAGATGACATCGAGCGTCTCCGCTTCTCTGCTGACCGTTCCTCCCCCCCCCCCTTCAGTGCCATGACAGCGAATTAATACCTCGATTTCTTTTCCCACCTACATCCGTTGTAATTACACACACAAGCAATTAGTGCGTCAAAACAGCATCTCCTCCTGGGCTTTTGCTGGAGTAGCTTCTCATTAGAATTAAGCATCTGCTGACATTCGTTTCTTCTTCCACCAAGTCCGAGTTCCAGAAGGCATCTGCTAAGTAACCTTGCAGCGACCAAATCAGGCAAGTTTCTAGACAGTAGATTGCACTCAGCTTAGCTCTTCGAATTAATCCACTAGCCTCAATATGTACACTTACCCTGAACTACAAACTAGCCAATTACATGTTTTCCGGTGAGGCCGGCCTATCAGGGCAACCTGGTCTACCCCAAATATGGGGAGCATACTGCTTCTGCTTTCGCCTTTCAGCTCCAATCTAGGAGCCTTCACGGGCAGTCGCTTCTGTTACAGACTGTGTGTTAAATTTTAAATTTACTGACAGAGAATTAAAGAGAGCCTAGTATAGCTATTTCGAGCTATTTAAATTTAAAATTTAGCCAGTTGCATGTTAATCTGGTGAGTTATGCAGACACAACCTCAACTAGTGGATGATGGCTGAGCATTATCCAGATCAAAGCACCTATTCAGCACAGTGCAAAAATAAATAATTGTATTCTTGGTTCCAGTATTTTCTGTGTATCTAATAAGTTGTCATTTCTTTGGAGAAAGGATACAATATCTTAAAAATTACATTAAAAATCTTGTTCAAATATTATTTTAGAAATCCACACATACATTTTATAGATACTAAGATAAATCCATCACCAGAAGATTAGTGTTGGCAGCAGTAATTATCAAGTTTTACTCCAAGGCAGGAGGCAGAGTTATGATTATAGACCAAGAGGACTTCTAGGAGAGGACCTTCATTCTTCAGACCCAGACTTGGTGCAACAAGGATTGATTCTGAAGTTGGCAGTTTTAAGACAGGCTGAGATTTGATTGATTATGCCATTATGTTTGCATATATTTAAATTAACTAACTATGGAAACAAGTATGACATAGTGCTATACTTCCAAAACTGAAATAGGTGTTGCTTTGACCATTTTTGACAAAATATAAGAAAATAGATTTATCAAGGGGCAGTGCCTAGCTGACTGTGGCTGCTCCTGATTTGTCCATGGATGGGCAACTGCCTGAGAATTTGAGGGCTGTTGACTACATTGGAAAACATAAATAAACACTGGAAGATTACGGTGGCAAAGCCCATTTGTAATGCTGCTAAGAATTCTGCACAGATGTTGCTACCAGGCGTTTTGCTCAACCTGACGGCATTCTTTAGGAACAATAGGGAATGGATGTGTATGTAAGGACCTGCCTCAATCAGTCCTCCCAAGAAAACAAAACTCTTGAAATCGACATCATTTCAAAAGGAACTTTTATTGGGAGATGTTGACAGCAGGAAGGCAGGATCTGAGGGTTTCCCGCACGAATCAAATCAAAAGAGTCAATGGTAACCCCACCCCAACTGTCCATCCAGACTGTTTAAATAGGCCAATCCGCAGGTGTGAAAACGCTGTGGGAACGGAGTGATAAGGCACCGCTTCCAAGGCTATTAGGTCTCTGCGCCACTTCTTCCGTGCCCGAAGATAAGGCAGATGGCTGGAGGCACATTCCATTCTCACCCCGATAGAGAAACTTCAAAGAGGATAGAGCAAGGAACAAAGCAAAAGAAATACACATCAGCAACTCCAAGCTTCCCCCCCCCCAGGAGAATGGCAGAACTCGAAAAGAACAAGAAATCCTATGCCCATAGAGAGACAGGATTCTGACATGCTGCCCACCCTTAAAAAAATGGGAGGTTCGTCTTCAGAGTCGCTGTCAGGAGAGTTGGGTGGTTTTCTGGTCGGGGCCGGAGTTCCTTCCCCCAGGATCTCAGGGGAACGGACCTTGACCTCAGCGCTTTTCATGGCGATCTCCCTGGGTCATTGCAGAGTCTTCCCAGGCTTCCCTCCACTGGAACGGTCGGGTTTGCATACGGGAATCTTTCAATGGCATTCTGCAGCCCGGTGCCCTTCCTTACCGCACTTGAAGCAAGTGCTGCGGTGGTTTTTTTTGTCACCTCTCATTTTCCCTCGGGGGGGGGGAGTGTCTCCAGGTTCGTCCAGGAGTCACTGACTTCGGACTTGGTTGATTTCAGCTTCCTTGGCCAGGATACACCAGTCATGGAGGCGTTCGGATCTCCCCTGGCGATGCATGCGTGGTACAGGTCATCGTTCAGTCCATCTTTGAAATGACCCACTAGGACTTCCTCCGGTCAATTGAGATGGCACGCCAGGTCTTTGAATTCCTCCGTATACTCAGCCACCAGGTGACGACCTTGCCCCACTGTTTTAATGCATTCTCTAGCCTTCCGGTCAGCTAAAGAGTCCTCGAACCTCGTCCTCAGGGCAGCCATAAATTGGTTGAAGTTCCGAAGCTCAGGAGTGTCAGCATTATGCAGGGTCACCATCCAGCGAGCTGCTGCTCCCTCCAAGGCCATGGTCACTACTCTCACCCATCCATTGTCGCTGGGAATGTCTCGACCATATTCCTCCATGTAGCTCAAGACATGGGCTAGGAAGAATCCCAGCTGCTGAGGCATCCCATCGTATTTCACTCCCAAGAGTGGGACCTTTCAATTGGGTCGGTGGGTTCTCCGTCTGGCTCGGCGCCTGTCTGGCTCGGCACCCATCCCCCCCAGTTGGGGTGGCCCGTGCTGGGGTAGCTGCTGAAGCCATGTTCTCCGTAGCCTCTAATGCACTGTTAGAGGGACCAGGGTTCACCAACTCACTCTCCTGGCATTCCTCTTCTGCCAACCCCAGCCCCACTGAGCCCCAGCAGAGGTCTTCTTCTTCCTCTTTAAGAGACTTGAAAGCTTCCACCATCAGGTTGATGGCTAGTTTGAGGAAGCAGTCGGATCGGGCTGGTCTCTCGTCCTTGCTGAGGTTGAGCGACCTCTCCATCTCCCTCTTTCATCCTGGTTGGTGGCTGCCACGCTTAAGGGTCACCTTCCTGGCTTTTCCCTCCCATTCTTTCTTCTTTCCAACACCAATCGATCATCTCAGCTTCTCCCGACTTTCTCTGGTCATGGCTTCATCGGATGAGCTGGAGGAATCTGAGCTGCTTCCGCTCAGGCCAGCCTTGGGAGCTTCCCTGCAAAGGTTGCCTTCTCCTCTCTCACCGCCATGGTTCGACATCTTTTGCACGGTCCCCATGGTAGGGGTTCTCCCTCTGGGTTGACCACTTTGCTGATCCTGCCTAATGTCAGGACCTGCCTCAATCAGTCCTCCCAAGAAAGCAGAACTCTTGAAACGGACATCATTTCAAAAGAAACTTTTATTGGGAAATGTTGATTGCAGGAATAGAAGGCAGGATCTGAGGGTTTCCCGTGTGGATCAATAGGTCAAAAGAGTCCACGGTAACCCCACCCCAACTGTCCATCCGGACGGTTCAAACAGGTCAATCCACAGGTATGAAATCCCTGTGGGAACGGAGTGATAAGGCGCCACTTCCAAGACTATTAGGTCTCCACACTGCTTCTTCAGGCAGATGGTCAGAGGCACATTCCATTCTCACCCCAATAGAGAAACATCAAAGAGGATAGAGCAAGGAACAGCAAAAGGAAATATACATCAGCAACCCCAAGCTTCCCCCTCCCCCCCAGGAGAATGGCAGAACCCGAAAAGAACAAGAAACCCCATGCCCATAGAGAGACAGGGTTCTGACAGTGTAATTCTATAAGGTCCAGAAATGTGGCTGGCAGCACATTTTGGAAGTGTCTTCATTATATATAATGGGGAAAATATGAGTAATCTTCTGGCAGGGCAAATTAGATACCTCTTGCGAAACAGTTTTTTTGGGGAGTGTGTGCATGTGCACATGTGCTTGCTGGTGTCAGGGTTGACAGGAGAGAAAGAAAGAGTGAAAATATGAAATGAGAGCTTATTACAAAGAAAGGCTAAGGTTGAGATTACAGATCAATTATTTATAGAGGTTGCAATTTTCTTTTTTAAAGGATTTATACATAGTATAATTTTCAACTTTGAAAGAATTAAAAGAACATTTTAAAGGGCCACAAAAAGACATTGATGCACTACAGAAAGAGA